ATATGTTCGCGCGAAAGCCCAATGGTTACGTCGTTGTCGTAACAAGCGGCGAAATTCGCGCAATTGGATACGCGATATTGGAACGTTTATGATGTAACGATGACACGTATTTGAGCTTTGCCCTCGGGCACACGGCTCGATTACGCAAGCATGCATGCAGATCGTTTCCGCAGATCGAGAATGTGCTCGAGTATTACGCGAACGATTCTCGCGTAATATGTTAATTGGGCGTGATAAACGTCCGGGGGCCGATAACGCTTGATTTAGTAACTTTGTTGTAATTTTTACGTTGGGAGGGAAATAAAGCTTCCGTGATAATACACGACCTACAAACAGTAATCTATTCAATCGTTGATCGTTTGCGAATGTTTATTAGCAAATGTTTCACGTTTGTACGCAATTCGACATACACTTCGGGGTAATTAAAAGTAATACGCTTTTACATGCGCTCGTTAAAACGATCGTGTCCTATTTGTCGCTGAAAAAACACGTGACTATTTAATTCGAGTTGCCGTTATGTAAGGAAGCACGTGCGCCCGTGCGAAAACGTGCCACGTGCTGCAACGCTATCGCCCGTGTACGGATTGAATCGTGGAAACACACATATTTACTCAACCTTCAGCATCTGTGTACGAAAACGATGTTTGGATTTCACAACTACGCAGACAACGTGTGCTAGTTAAACGGACATACAATGTACGTTCCCTTCGTCGAATTATTATGCATACATTCCACGTGAACGTAAGGTTAGATTCTACATCTACGAATTTATTACGAATATTTACGTGTAATAAACACAAATTTCGAATATCTGCGTGTATTGACGGATATAAATGTTCGTTAAGTTGAAATATTTGCGTTCGGTATTAACGAATTCGGTTTCTTCTCGAAAGAAAGATTCGAAATTTGGCGCTCATGGCGTCCGGGGTACGCGTACGTGCAACCTGCGCGCGCAGCTTCGATAGTCGAAATTTGAACGCGTCGCGCAGGAGAAATTTCGATAATCGAAGGAGCGTCAGTTCTTTCCGGGCAATTTCTAACGATCGTCGTGGCGCGGTGATTCTTCGACGAAAAGATTCGCGGAACATGTACTCAATCGTTCGAGATATTTGTATTCCGTGTACGGGAAGTGCCGCGAGTGAAGTTCAATTTACTGTGTGCGTGTTTATTGCGTGGAATATAGAAACGAGCCAGCATGCATCTCCTCTTGTCAAGCGTCACTGCAAATAGGTAGGGTCACGCGTCATTCTTCTTTGTTTTTTTTAAACTCTTTTTAAACGATCAGTCAAGGACTTCTTTCTCTTATTGTTGTTTATACCCAATGTCTTAAACACGATGGTTTACGACAATTGGCATCCCATAAGAAATAATGAATACGCGTAAGTTGTAACGGGCCTCGTAGCTCGTTGCTCGTGTCAAAAGCACACAAGGTATACAAAGTCTTAGCTTCGCAGATGCATCGATACAGACATATGATTAATCTCTTAAAGGGTTTTTATTAATACTTTATATTGGTTTAACCCCAATAGGAAACGAAATACTCGTCTCTCGGCTAGGGTATCGAACTTGCAACGCAACTAGGAGGAGGGGGGAGGGGGAAGGGAAGGGAAGGGAGGAAGCGAGATGGCGAAGCTTGTGAATTAACCGTCGAAGCACGCGGGCAGAGAGGTTACGTAAGCGTCTCGTTGCATCGTGTACGCGTGCGTTTCCTCCATCCACGTGCTATGCACGCTTGTTAGAAGTGAATGTCAGCCTCTTATATCGCGGAAGCCCCTTGCTATCCTCGGTAAATATGTCGACGTGTACATGGATCTCTTCTAATCACATACCTCTGGCCGAGAAACGTGCCTCGGTGACACGGTTACACGGTTTTTAATACTTTAAATTATCTCCGCGTTGACCGCATCGTGCCTACAATTAGTCAAAAAAAACTGTCTCGCTCGATGCTTCTCGGCCGGTAACGGCGTTTCGCGAGGGGTAAGGTAATCCGAATTTTCGCGCTTACCATTCGCGGACAATCTTTTCACGCTCCTCGCCAGAGGGCGGTGACAAAGGTTTCGAAGGAAGACGCCTCCATTAGAGGCCTCCATGGAATATAGCGGTCACGCGTAAGTCGGTCGTGACTATGGTTCGCACGTATCGCGTTACGTTTTCACATCGGCAACTTCGTATTTCAACTCCGTTCCACTTAGACATCCTCGTTCGTAGAATTTTTACTTATATATATATATATATCAGCTACCTCCGTTACCAGCGTTCGTAATAGAACGTGATGTGACGTGATGTTATTTCCCACTATTGAGATGTTAACAGTAAACGGCGGTACTATTCATGGACGTAACAGGGGGGGAAAAACAGGAAATGATTCTGCCGAAAATTAATAATCGCTGATTCAATCACGAACCGTCAAGTCCTTCCTTCCACGAATCCTGATGAGTGACTCAGCCTAAAATACCGATGTGTAACTTTCCGTTCAAGTCCCCGTTTTTTTTTTTTTTTTTTTTTTTTTTTTTTTT